GGTGGCCACACTTAGTGGACTGCTGTAACGAGGGAGGCATATGGATTTCGGGCCGGTGTTAGTCGTTATCCTTGGCCGCTGGTAGTGAAACTTACGAAAGTTGTTCTCCGAGCGGGGACACTATGAGATTGAGGGAGGTGGTCTTGGTGGCCACAAGAGTAAAGGAAAGGGATTACTGTTGATGCATGCACTGTATTTCAATTGAAATGTTGTATTAAATGTTGTCTTAAGTGTGGAGTCATTCAAACTCCTGGGTCTGTCTCTACTTTCACTGTTTACTTTTCCTCTACTTCCTGTACTATTTACACTATCCCCTCCTATTTCTCTTGAAAGAGAAGTGATTGGTCACACACTTCTCACCCCGCTCCAATCCGTGGTTACCATCGAGGGTACACGGATTCAGTGACTGGTCTACGTTTTGGGAAGATGCACTGGGAGGGACCCACCCTTCCTAGTGGCAGTCGAGCATTGTAGACGTTCTGTTTCATTTTCCTTTACCTATACTTTGTATAGGGGGATATGGGACAGGAAACGAGTAAGCCCGCTAGGGGCTGGCTCGCGTGTGATTTAGTTGAAGATAGAGAAGGTGAAGAACTGGTTAAAAATGTTGCAAAGATTGCTAAAGTGTGTAAAATTGCTGTGCCTTCATGTGGTAGATTACAACCAGAAAGTTGGCGTAGATTACTGACAGAGAAGAAAGGCAAGCTTACAGATAATGATTTATTGCGTACTGCTGAAGCATGGTACAGAGTAGAAAGGCTATCCAGCAGGAGGGTTGGGTAGAGGAAGAGATAAATCATAAAGGGTTAAGAACTGTATGTATATCATAATAATTGTGTTACTGGGAAGTTATCCCAGCCAGTGCCCTGTCGGGGGTTCCAGGAGGTGACCACTTCCATCATCCTGTCAGTAATGACCGAAATGTAGCTGACCATGGTCACCATCCCACCCCAATCTTAAAACGCTGTGGGGTTTTTGTATTTTGTGTTAGCCATTACCCTGGTAGAGGGTGGGGGTTTAAATGAAATATTGTGTTTTTGCTTTGTAATGTAATTGTCCTTCTGTCTTGTTACTGTACAGCGTTGACATGGTTAAATTCGTGCTGGCAGGCAGTCTCTCTCTTGTTCCACTCAAATCCCCCTCTGCTAAAACACCCCCCCCTCCCCTCGCTTCTGTGAGACGCGGGGGGGAGGGGGCGGAGGGGGGTGGTGACATGCTTGCGATTTAGGTCTGTCTCTTCGGTGTTCTGTAGAGTTATTCAGAAGCTACTGATAAGATTTTAGCAATGAAATTTTTGCTAGAAAATATTCTAATTGTGTATTTTGTTATCTCAATAGAAATTGATAGGATGGTTAGGGAGTGAATCTGATGCAGGAATAGAAGTTATTAAGTTGGTATATGTTTCTAGAGACAGCTTTGTGGGCTGTTAGATGTATAATATTCACAACTGTCTTATTTAATCCGTCAAGTCTGTCCACAGTTCAGATTTTCATTTTGCTGAACAGAATGTTACTTCCCATGAAACCCACGCCTCCAGAGAGACTTAGTATGCCCTAAAGGAAAATGGCCCCTAAAACAAAAGAAGGTTGTCCTTAAGTGCCTTCACTCTGCCCTTAGTGAGGTCATATCTGCCCATATATCGTGTCAGTTCTGGCCATCCATGGCTGACGAGATCTACTCCTATCATGCTCATCCTATCTTAAGACATGCTGTCTTCCTTAATTCCCACATATTATGAACAAGAAAGTTACAATTACTAAAATAATCCTGCTAATGTTTCCCTATATCAGAAAAGTGTCTGTGACAAGTGATGGTTAATATGTAGAAAGGATATATATATACCGATTCACGTGTTAAGTAACAATATGTATTAACTTTGTGTACAAAAAATTGATAACATGCTAAAAGAAATTTCTAATAAACAAAGATTTCTTGAACAAATGGTAATACAATTAAAGATTGGTCTCAAGATGTTTTGATCTAATTGAAAAGAACCAGAAAACATTATGAGCCTAACTACTAACAAATGGATAAGGGGGAGTGTGTTCCAATCTGTCTTTATTGGATAATGTTAACCACCAAGATTAAAGACTGACTAACATATTTTTTTAATGTAAGCCCAGATATTTTATTATTATATATGCATAGAAGTCGAGACTTTAGGCATTATAGTGTATTGATTCTAGATCTGTTACTAGCAGCAAGTGCTTAGCCTTATGCCTATCCCACGCATGCTTAAACACTCCTTTACTGTGTTAACTCTATCACTTCAGCTGGAAGGCTATTCCATGCATCCACTACCCTCTCAGTAATGTAATACTTCCTGATAGTATTTTTATTTAAACCTTTGTCCCTCTATTTTTGAGACTATGTCCTCTTGTTATGGTAGTTTTCCTTCTTTTAAATATAGACTCCACTTTAACTGTGTTGATTCCCTTTGTGTATTTAAATGCTTTTATCATATTTCCCCTGTCTCGTCTTTCCACTAGGCTATACATGATAAGATCCTTTAACCTTTCCTGGTAAGTTTTATCCTACAATCCATGAACCAGTTTAGCAGCCCTTCTTTGAACTTTCTCTAGGTATCCATGTCCTTCTAAGGATATGGTCTCCAGTACTGTATACAGTACTCCAAGTGAGGTCTCACCAGTGTTCTGTACAATGGCATGAGCACTTCCCTCTTCCTACTGCTAATACCTCTCCCTATACAACCAAGCATTCTGCTAGCTTTTCCTGCTGCTCTATTACATTGTACATTGTCATTAACAGCCAGAAACTGGAAACCAGAAAGGATAAATTAATGTATAGCTAAATGTAAAGCTTAACAAAACCTCCATTATCTTTTTCATTTATCTCACAGAAAAACAGTTATTTGTCTATTTTGTAAGTTTTAATACATTATCAGTGAAGAGTAAAGTAAGTTTTATCCCTTTTGCGAGACATAAAATTGCGATAATGTATATTTGTGATGTAAGTAAGAGTTATATTTTATGATAGGTTGAAAAAAAAAAAAGAGAGAGTCAGGGATAGCGTCTGTCTCTACGAGCAAAAGTCTGGTGTGGGAGATGTAGTGGACTAGCCACTGCGGGATACCCACGGAGTGAAGCGTTCGAGGCCTGTACAGACAGATGTGCTTGTTAGCCTTTTATTATTTTTCTCTAGGGAAAGCATAGGGCCAGTTAACAGTTGTTGTACATGTGCTATTTGCAGCCTCCATTGCATTTCTACTTAATTCTGATTTCTGATGTATCCTCCACTGCTACATACCCACGCCTCCATATGGAGACCTGTCTGCTCCCTTACCTGCCCACCCCTGCCTACTCCTACTCCTCCTCCTACTCCACCTTCTCCTCCTTCTACTTCTCTCTCCTCCTCCTTCTCCTCCTCTTTCTCCTCTCCTCTTCTCCACCTTCTCCTCCTCCTACTCCTCCCTCTACTTCACCTTCCACTCCTCCTATTCCTCCCTCCCACTCCACCTTCCCCTCCTCCTACTCCACCTTCTCCTCCTCCTACTCCTCCCTCCTCCTCTTATTCAATCCTACTCCTCCTATTCCTCCTTCTACTCCACCTTCTCCTCCCTCTACTCCACCTTCTCCTCCTCCTACTCCTCCCTCTACTTCACCTTCTACTCCACCTTCTCCTCCCTCTACTCCACCTTCTCCTCCTCCTACTCCTCCTCCTACTCCACCTTCTCCTCCTTCTGCTTCTCTCTCCTCCTCCTTCTCCTCCTCTTTCTCCTCTCCTCTACTCCACCTTCTCCTCCTCCTACTCTTCCCTCTACTTCACCTTCCACTCCTCCTATTCCTCCCTCCCACTCCACCTTCCCCCCCTCCTACTCCACCTTCTCCTCCTCCTACTCCTCCCTCCTCCTCTTATTCAATCCTACTCCTCCTATTCCTCCTTCTACTCCACCTTCTCCTCCCTCTACTCCACCTTCTCCTCCTCCTACTCCTCCCTCTACTTCACCTTCTCCTCCTCCTACTCCTCTCTCTACTCTACCTTGTCCCCTACCTGACAACATTATATTTTGAAAAAAAAAAAAAAAAAAAAGTTGCTCTGGCCCCTCTTCCGCCACTTCCCAGGGGGGAATACCACACTAACAAAAAAACAAAAAAAAAACAATTATTATTCAGACTGTTTTGGGCACTCTCAAGGAAATAGTGCGGTCCTGACCCAGATTCCCATGGAAATAAGACACCTGTATCATCACTGGGAGGTGGCTGCCCCTCATGTTTTCTTCACTAAGTCCCCAGAAATCTCATAAAAGGAACCTGACTCAATAAAACATGAAACACTAAAAATCGATATCAGCTCTCTACAGAGGGGGGGGGGGGCAGCAAGAGAACTGTAAATGGAAAGACAAATACCCTCAATCTCACACAGAAATAGGTGGGATATCTCTTCTACTACTCCTCATGGTTGCTTTGAACAGATGAAAGAAGAAACAAGACACC